TTGTGTGTTCATTTTGAAGACTGTGTGGCCTGTGTTGCTCCTTTTCTTTATTTACTGTATTCAGTAGACCATGCTCCATAATTGTCTGTGAGCACAGGTACAGCATGCATTTCCCCCCCCCAGCTCCCCCAAGCTCCTCCTATCACCAGAGCTGTAAAGGAAGTGGTTTTTGTCCCAGCCCTTCCTGCCTTTCCTGAAGTGTCCTTCTTCCAAGCTCAGCCTAGAAAAACACATTGTCTGTGTGCATGGACATATCTGGTGTCCTGCACCAAAATAACTGCATCTAGGAAAGGTTCCTTTGCTGCACATTATGGGGTACCCAGGGTCCTTGGGAGGCAGAAATCCTCTCCACAAGATCCCTTACCATAGTTTAACTAGCAAAGTGATACCAAAAAACTGTGCAGACTTATAACACCTCTTTCTTGGTTGCCTGGTGCTTTGTGGGTCCCTAGTTTTCTTTCTGTTTGGCAAGTGAGCTCCTGGGGCAGAGGTCTTCTCTCCTTACTTTGCTCAACCTGAGGGGTGCTGTCAGTGCTGGGTGAGTAGTTGTGAGAGCGATCAGGCTAGGTCCTTCCTCCGCTGAAGGAGAGCGTGCTCTGTCTGGCATCCAACAGAGCAGTGTCAGTTCAAAGGGCAACTCTGACGACTAAATAGTGCCATTAGAAAAACCCCTCTGCTGGAGCCTGTGGGGTGGCAGAGGGGAGGGTTGCTTCTCCTGCCTCCACAAGCCATATATCAGACTCCCACTTTGATAAGGGCAGCGCTGCCATAGATGTCGCAGTCCTGAGGGGAGGATGGGCTGACTGTCCCAGAGTGGTGAGTCCCCCTGGCCTCAGCAGCCCCTGCTGACTTGATTTCGCCGCAGTCAGGCTGTGGTTGCCTGGCAGTCCTTGTGCCAGCAGAGCTTTGCTGCTGGTGTGACAGCATCCGTGCCATCAAGTGCGCCATTCTCAGTCACCCTCATCTGTGGAGAAGGGATCAGATGTCCTCATTTGTCCATATTAGGAGGTTGTTAATCTGCCTTTCTCCCCTCCCCAAATTAAAGGCTCATTTCACATAATGAAGATGATGCTCAGGATAAACAGCTAGGTGGGCTATATCATCTTGTCCAAGTGTGATTTCAGGAACGCTTCACCCCGTACAAGGCTTCAACCCTACTGAAAGGGGAAGGCCCAGCCTTTTCCTCGGCACTATGGCTGGTCCAGCAGCAGCCTGGAAAACAAGTCCCCTTTTTGTTGTCTTTTCAAAAGAACTACATTGCTGATGAGTACCAGGGGTTGGTATGGGAGGGGTGGTGGGGGGGAGGGTGGTGGGACTGTGCCTTTGACAGGAGCGGGTGTTTAGATGAGCGTAAGGTAGTTGTGAAAACAGCCTCTGAGGATTTGCTGAGGGATGGTTGCCACAGGATCTCCTGTAAAATCCCTGATGTGCTGGGGACTGTTTGTGTCAATACTCGCTGAACGCAAAGCATCGTAAACAAGGAATGGAAAGACTGGTCGAGTCTTGCTCAGGTCCAAGTCTGCCTGTTGAGCAGAAGTATTTTTGCATCTTTGCCTTTGTTTGTAATTTTTTTGAGGGAGAATAACAGAAAATGTCCAGCTTAAAAACAGCTGTTTTACAACATGAGATTTCTTTCCATATAATTGTAGGGGTTAGTAATTAGTAACTTGTTCTTGCTGTCAGTTTAACTCCTCCAGTGGGCACAACTAGAGCGCTGAAAGTAGGCTAATTGGTCCCTTCTGAGGTCCTCTGCAGTATTTGCTCTGTTCACATAGCTAAAGTTGTCTGACAGTTTCTCTAATTTTGGGAGGAAAAGTTCTTTTAATACTTTTATGAAGTTGTTAAAACTTAAATTTTGGTCTCAAACTATCAGAGAGTAAATCTTGACCTCTCCCCTGGGCTCCAGCACGTACAGAGGGGTTTGAGAGTTATTTACGTTCCATGGGTCACAGATCTAGGTACTTACAGTCCAGTGGCATGCATAACAACCTGTTCAGACTCCACCGATCCAGGAGTTATGTCGTGCTTGAATGACTTCATATTAAATGTGTAGCCGCTTCTTTAAAGAAGGACTAAATCCTATAATTGAACCAGAAGCTAGGCTCTCAACTGTGAACTATGAGTCCTTATGTGCTCAGTCAGAAGAGTGTTAAGCATCCAGGGTGTGGAGATTTCAGGCTCTCTAAGAAGTAAGCACAACAATGCAGGTGTCAGGAGGCTCACTCGTTAAGAGTACAGCATTATAGTGGACCTGGTAGCCCTGGCCTGAGGGCTGCCACTGCATCTGTCTCCCCGTAACTGTATTGTTTTTACCGTGTAAAGAGGAACAAAACGGTAAGAAAAGGCTTGAAGAGAAGGCAGAAGAGGAGTAGATGTCTGAAAAATGTCTCGTTTGGGCAGGCTGAATTTGCTTTCTAAAATTTCTTGAAGGTGCCAGATGTGTTCAGGAGGTCGTGGAAGAAAGGGAAATCTCCCACTCCCTCCTCCTTCCTTGTTCTGAAACTGAAGTGAATTTCAGTGTCTTCAGTGAGAAGTAGAAATCTCTTGCAGAGCTTCAAAGTATCCACTCTGAACGCTCAAGCTGACTGGTAGACAGCATAGGCTACTGGTTGGACCATGAATGCACAATTCAGATTTAAGCGACTGTGTCCAAGTCACATGGCTTCTTCAGCTTCCTTTTCTAAGTCAGATATGTTTCCTGAGACACACTGGTTTTTTTTTTTGTTTGTTTTTGCTTTTTTTTCTCCTCAGGATCCTTGAGTAAAATACTGCAGAGAGGAGGAGACGATGTTGTAAATATTACAGCTTTTTCCATGCATTAAAGGTCTGCTTTTGCTTATGGGTAGGTGGCTGAGAATCAGAAGGTGCCTGAATTATCTTTATTGACTCAGTTGCTCTGTTAAGCTGACTTAATAAATGCTAAAATTAATTCACATATTACCCATCTTTACAGTTTTCTGTGATCCTGGCTTTAAGGCTATTCTGAATTAGCCAAGGCAGCGCACCTCCTGTCTCCAGTGACTAAGAAGAGCTGTTCCTCTCCCTTCTCTGCTGTGCCACTGCTTTGCTTGCTTTTGGGAACTGCAGTATGTGGAAGGAGGCCAAACAATTTTAGCCCTTGCTGTTAAACTCCAAGTTGTTTTGTTCTTCCTCACAAGGCAATAGAGGGAGGAAAAAAAGGGGGGAGGGGGGAAAAAAAGGTGGCTAATCTAAGGGTACATGTGTTTCCCTTTCTACACAAATCTCTTCTTGCCATGCTTTGTGGGCAAAGAGAGGAACTGCTTATGAACTTTGTCTAGTTCATAAACAGTCACAACAGGGAAGACAGCATGCAGCTCCTGCTTACTGACCTGCGCAAAGCTGGAGCTTCAGGTTAGCAATAAAATTCTACCTGCTGATGCTTGCTGCTGCGTTGTGTAAGAGCTGAGCTCTGTTAGCTTTCTAGCAAACACCTAGCGTTTGAGGTGAAGCATTGTGTGGCCCACACAAATCAAACTGCTCTCCGAGAACTGAAAAGCCTCCTGTGTGAAAGTCAGGGTGTGCTAATGTGGGAGGGAAGGCCCGGAGGCAGCAACTGTGGGAGCTGTGACAAAGGAAAACGGTTAGATTGAACAGGTCCAATTGGTTCAGTGCTGCGTTTTGCTGTTCCCCCGCCTGCAAAGATGACGGTGACTTTAACTGAATGGGTTGTCATGCCTGGAGTGACAGTAGGCTAAATCTCCTGTTAGAAGGAGATGGAGTTACACAGCCTGCTATATGCTCCCAGCTGAAATTGCACCTCCTCTTCAGACTTCCAGTTATGTATGCATTGTAGTGTTCACTGTTTCTCTTTCCTTTCCTTCTGCTTGTCCCCTCAGGCTTGAGCAGCGCTTGGCTGTGCCCCTCCTGAGTGCTCCTTGGAAAAGTGATGATGATCACATTCATGAATAACTCGGACAGCGAGGAGGAGCCCTGCAATGAGAGAACCTCTCTGATGTCTGCAGAGAGCCCTCCCGTACCCTCCTACCAGGATGGCCTGCCAGCCTCAGAAGCAGGGGAAGCACAGACACATAGGGTAGGTCTGCATCCTTTTCAGGGCCTGAAGAAATACAGTATAATGATAGATGCTCTCCTGTCACCCCTCAGTCCCTCCCAGCAGACTGGCTCCTAGGACTGGCTTTCTTACTGCTACCGGCTGAGACGGTGACACCACAGGATTGCCTGTTCCTATTTCCTCCACTGTGTCTTTTTTCCCCTTTTTATGTCCATACATGCTCCTCCCCTTTCCTCTTTGTTGGCGAAGAAGCGAGGCTTTTAACCAGGACCTGATGCATGTATGACTCTTTAAGGATATCCTTCCAAGTCACCTTGCTTTGCCAGAAACCTTTTTTTCTACTCTGGTCAAATGCAACAAACCTTAGAACAGAATCTTGTCCTACCTCCAGTGAAGCAGCTTGAATCTGCTCCCACAGTGATGCTGTGCTTGCTTTACCAAACTGGTTGGTCTTATGCCACCTCAGATTTCTTCTTTCTGGTAGAAATCCCTTCTCTCCCAGTTCTGCTCACCTCGCCCTTTACGTGTATGGGTCCATCTGTATGTATGCACTGGAGAGGCCCTCAGATGCTCATGCTTTTGATTTAAAAACTCTGTTGCATCCGGTTTGTAATGTAATTCTTAATCGTATCATTCAGTTGGATACCTTCCTGTAGGAACAAGTTGGTATGCTGCAGAAGCCCACAGCAGCCCTGTGAAATATGACTGCATGGAGCTCTGAATAGAAAGAAAAGAGGATCGTCTTATACCTTTGCAAACTTTTCTTTTCAGAAGAGGCAAACGGGTAGCAGCCATAGCCCTAACAATGCTGCTGACGGGAATGTGTCTGACTCGGGTGTTCCAGTAAGAGAGAGTGCCTTGGAAAATGAAGAGGAGGAACTGACTCTGAAATATGGAGCAAAGCATGTAATCATGCTCTTTGTGCCTGTCACCCTTTGTATGATTGTTGTCGTCGCCACCATAAAGTCAGTGCGCTTCTATACGGAGAAAAACGGGCAGCTGTAAGTGGGGTCTTCAAAACAGCCTCTGAGTACAAGGGATCCCTAGCATTACACATACATTCCAAGCACGTGCGTTTCTGTGCGCAGGGTGCTTCCTTGGCAGGTCAGGAGAACCTCTACACAACTAAAGGTAGCTGTGCAAACGCACAAAAGATCTTGCCAAAGTACAGCTAATAACCCTAAGTTCACCTGTGTGAGTTTTTTCCCTACTTGCATTGTACTGATTCGTTAGCACTGTCGTTTGGGTGCCTTAAGCAAAGCCTGTGAGTAGAGTTGTAATGAAGTTGCTCCGTATTGCCACATAAAAAGCCCAGGCTGAATTCCCAGTCTGTTCACCTGCTAGCTGGCAGCAATCAGGGAATAGCATGCTCATTTGGATGAGTGAGAAAACTGTCTCATTTCCTGATGACATTTCTGTTTCCTAAACGCTCATGGTGTGGATACATAATTCCATCCGGCTCTTGCTGACTGTGCCTGAGAGCATTCGTGGGCCTGTAAGAGGGGCACTTCACATTGAGGGGCGGGGGGAGAAACAGGGACTGTGGTCCCTTGAACTGAATGAAAGGGAACATGGGGTGAGAAGGGATTTAAAACAGTTTAAGACTCTTAGCAAGCAGGGAAAGGGAGGAGGACAGCATCCGTGATGTATCCTTGGCGTTATTGTCAAGAGGGTCTAGAGACATGCAGCAAGAGTTATAAGACTTAAAGCCATTTCTGGTCTAGGTTTTTTTGTGTAGAACTTGGCCAGCCACAGCTGCTCTGTAGGAATGTGCTGTGGTTAGAGACCACTAATTGTTAGTTGATAATTAACTGGAGCTAGGCCCCTTCGAAGGCTATATGTCATGTTTGCTGTCCTTCACAGTTACACCTCCCTTTCTTTCCTACATGCAGAGAGATCCATTTTACTTTGGGGTAGTCTGTTAGAAGAGGACAGATATGTAATTTACGTGGCTTTTGCTTTATACTGCAGGATCTACACACCTTTCAGTGAGGATACCCCATCTGTGGGCCAGCGTCTCTTGAACTCAGTGTTGAACACCATCATAATGATCAGCGTCATTGTCGTGATGACCGTATTCCTAGTTCTGCTCTATAAATATCGCTGCTACAAGGTAAAAATGTTCATGCTAGAGCCAGCACGTGGCCTTTTCCACATGCTGTGCTGTGAACTTCAAGTGGCACTTGCACATCAGCGAGAGGTACAGGCACTGGATTGGCTAGTCCATGTTTTAGTCATAGCAAGAATCTCACTGTAGAGAAGTCTTTGCCAGCGATGGTAGAGCTGTGCTTGCGGAAGTGCTTTGCTGTTGTGTTGTAACTAATGGTAGGCGCTTGAAAATGAGGCCTGTTACTTTGTGCTGGTCAGGTTTGAGTCTTCTCCATCTGAGCAAAGAGTTTTGGGGGTTTGTACTTCAGGACTGAATCATACCAGCTAACAGGCTTTGTGGGAGCTGGTATTATTCCTGCCTGTGGAAGCTGTGCTGGAAGGGGAGAAGGCTTGGAGGAAAAATCCCATTCAGCCCTGTGGCAGGCTGTCCAGGGAGTTACGTGAGGTACCAGCCCAGTGTTTGAGTGCTGGGCATTGCTGACTTCTAAACTTGACCCTGAGATAGGTTTGCTGTGCAGCCTTGGGCAAGCATCTTCCCTTTCCTGCCAAGCAGAGGGGATGTGCTTATCTGTCTGAACTGGGAGCCAGTATGGCCACCCATGGAAGTGGATAGGGAAGAGATCAAAAAAACAAAAGAAAAAAACCCACCCACAGCTAGACTATAAAATGGCATGATGGCAGAACTATGACCAACTGGCTACCCTGTCTTCCTTACCTGCAGTGGGGAAGGCAAGGTATTTGGAAACTGGAGGAGAAGCGAAGAGAGAAAGAATGTTCGACAATAGGCAGCTCCTTCATAGTGCATGCAGCGCTGCAACATGGTGGGGAGGGGGAAACAGGCAGCCCCTTCTATCACTGTCTCTTCTTGCCCTTGATAGTTCATCCATGGCTGGCTGATCCTGTCTTCTTTGATGCTGCTCTTCCTTTTCACCTACATATACCTCGGGTAAGTGGAAATGTTGCAGGTATCACGGTAGTTGAGAACTTCCTCACCTCTTTGTAGAAAATCCTCAGTTTAAACAAAGAACAGACTGTTGCTCCCCTTCTCCAGAGGTTTAAAAATTGTTAGAAGAAGATAGCTTATTTTATTATATAGAATATGAGGTCATCAACAGTTAGTGCCTGATTTTTACAATGCCTGCAAAAATCACTGGCAGATGATAGCTTGAGCATTAAGTGAACTACCTGAACCTTGTGGTACAGAGGCCCTGAGTTACACATTGACAGTGAGCCTCTGGAGTCACTGGTGTAAATTTCCAGCACCCCGAGATACCTCTCCTCAGTGGTGTCGAGAAAGCGTGTCAGGTGAAACTGTTGAAACTGTTTGGCTAGACGGAGGTTCCCAAAATGTGCTGTTGGTGTGTCTCCAGCTTCTGAGAACCAGGTGCAAGGGAACTTTGTGTCGAGCTGGTTCTCTGACTTGTTCTGCCTCTCGGACCGTACCCCTTCAAGCTCATGCCCTTAACTGTAAACTCCGATGGCACCAAGCCTTTAACGTGGTGATATTTGTTAAAATTGTTCTCTTCACTTTTAATATTGACCATTAGGCTTCTGGGGAGATGACTCTGATATGACTCTTTTACTAAAGGCTGTCTTGTAGCCACAGCCCTATGTTCAGCTACGTCTTGAAATCCAGCCCACTTGAATGCTTGGAATCGCTGCCTACCTCAAAAGGCAGTGTGGTCTTTGTGCATGCAGTATATACGTCTCCTGCAGAGGGGAACAGAGAGCTCAGAGCAGCAATTGGCCTCAAGGCAGACGAGCAGTTAAGGATGGTACAGGCAGGATCTAACGAAGGGGCTTTTTCCTCATGATGAGAGTCGCTTCTGTCCTACATCCTCCAGGTGTAGAACGAGACTTGTCTTTTTAATGAGAGCTAGTAAGATGTTTTGGTTGTTGCTTTTATTGCTCAGCTGAATTTCCCTGCTGTATTCCAGGGAAGTACTGAAGACGTACAATGTGGCCATGGATTATCCCACTCTGATTTTAGTCATCTGGAATTTTGGGGCTGTTGGAATGATTTGCATCCACTGGAAAGGTCCCTTGCAGCTCCAGCAAGCATATCTCATTATGATCAGTGCTCTAATGGCGCTGGTTTTCATTAAATATCTACCTGAGTGGTCAGCATGGGTCATTCTAGGTGCCATCTCTATCTACGGTAAGTCTGGGTTGTGATGCTCAGGGTGTGGCTTATGGGCAGGTTACTCTAAGGCAAGCTCACGGCTATGCATGTTACTCAGAAAATGACTTCATGGGGCTAACAGCTTTGGAAAGAGGGCAGCTGGCAAATAAGTTGACTTGCTGGCTTGTCTTTTGGTAACTGGTTCATGTAACTATGGTACTTGTGCCATGCCTTTCTTCCTCATAGCATATCTTTTCTTCCTCAAAGTGGAACACTGAGTCAGGGAAGTACTGAATCACATCTAACTGCACGGTGGGGGTGGTTGGATATTAGCAGTAGTAACCTGTAGTCCTGCAGGATTCAATTACTGGTTATCAGGAGATCATGGGTTTTTGTCCGAGTTAAAAGTTTCAGGAGAACCTGCAGAACAAGAGGTGGCTGGGAGGTAACGTTTCAGATTGGCGAGGAGCTCTGACGGGGAGAGAGGCTAGGCGAAGAGGAGCTGTACCAAAGGACTTGGTCTGTGTGGAAAATGGAGTCAGTGTATGTAGCAAGAGTTTGTGGAATACGAACAAGGAACCCCCTAGTCCTCTTCTAATTAAATTTTATACCTCTGTGTAATGCTGCCACCTGCTTTCAAAGAAATAACGTGGTGCTCTCAAGAGGCATTTTATAGGATTAGCACAGTGAAAATTCTTACTAGCACATTAAGCCTTGGGGATGGCATTTCAGTGAACATCTTCAGAGACTAACAGCTAGTTATGCAAAGTGGCTAAAATTGCCATTCAGGAAACCATCCAGTTGGTATTGATAGATGTCGTTTTGGGGGCGGGGGGTAGCTTTTTAAAGACAGAGAATAATATGAATAGCAGTTTGAGATAAGATTGTCTGGCCCTTTTCTCTTTGCAGATCTGATGGCTGTTCTCTGTCCCAAGGGGCCGCTAAGAATGCTGGTAGAAACTGCACAGGAGAGAAATGAACCCATTTTTCCTGCGCTGATATATTCTTGTGAGTAAAATTAGAAGGTTAATGCTTTCGACCAGATTAAACTTGCAAACTGTTTCTGTGTCAAACCAAGGAGCGCTATTTTATTTATTTGCTCTCAAATTGGTGCACGTTCTGTGTCCTGCAACAGACAATTTGTAGGCCTTGGTTTTCGCTTAGAATGATGTTAACCTCTAATTAGCCAAAGGGAGGGCACCACTTTCCAGACTTGACTTGTGAAGCTAAAATGTTCCAAAGTAGATTTATCCTTTTGTGAATACAGTGCAGAACGTGCCTATTTGTTCTGTATATAAAAACCTGGGTTAGATGAACAGTAGGATTTGCAAGGTCAAGTAGTTGGAGGATGCCCCCCAGTACACGTCCTCCTTGTGCATGCATTTTATAGACACGCTTTAAGTGTGTGATGAGGCTCTATTCTTCCTGCAGCCCTCTCTTGTTCTGTGTGGAGGGTGTTGTTTAGAATATATGTGCTATTCAAGCACCTCTCTGCAAACAAAATAGGTCATATCTTTCCTGGCTTTCTTCTTTCCTCCCTCTGTTCGCTATGACTGTGCTCTTGTGTGTTCCAGTCATATGTTTAAGATTAAGATAATTGGAAGGCAGGTGACTTAATGCTTACGTGATCTGGGCGCAAGCGTTTCATGGACCTCAGTGACTTTTTTCATTACCCTGTTTGTAAGAAGAAAGGGAATTTCCAAATCTTGGGTGCTCCGTCAAAGACGCCTACAACCTGATTTAAGTATTTAATGTTATATAAATGCTCCTACATGTTCCAAATGGAGCTCCATTTGGCTTCAGCTGCCTTGCCTTTTACTGGGGATTCTGTTAGGCCTGGCCGTAGACAATCTAGATGAAGTATCTTACGTGATTTAGTGAATAAACAAGCGTTTCTCTAAAGGAGAAGAAAAAAAATCAGAAAGTAATACTGAACAGAAAGTTCTTGTGCAGAATGCCTGTGTCTCCATTGCAAGACCACATTCTGTGGCTACCTCTAGATCCAAAAACATAACCTCAGCTGGGCCTGTAACGGAATAGCAGGCACTGTGTTTGCCTTGGCGTTCTTGTTTAGTTTATTATTATTATCTTTAATTAAAACAGGACAAAGATAGGCACACTTAAATAAACAGCTGTTTTCAGTTTCCTTCCACTGATCTCAGAATGGTCCGTATCCCTTTTTAACTTAGGGATCTACCTCAAGAATAAACCTCAAGTCACCTTCAGTTGTTCTTCAAGCCAAAATGGAAAAAGCCAATAGTCTGACAGGGGGGAAAAAAAGAGACAAGTGGCTCTCCAACAACTCTTGCATATCCCCCACTGGTATCTGCTTTACCTTTAGCAGAACATGAGAAATATGCTGTATAAGTTAATCTCTGGTTGATTTTTGTAATTTCATTGTTTCTTGGAAATTTTTTTTTTTTAATAGAAGAGCCAGAAACAAGGAAGAAAACAAAGGAGATGAGGACCCTATTTTTGGATTTTTGCTTTCTTCAGCCTACGGAGTCGACTGTACTGAATCTTAACTACCTGTGCTCTGAGACGCCCTCAAAAACTGAACAGATGCACTGCCCTAATTCTCTCTCGCATTCTCTCTCTGCCTTCTAAGTGACTAGGGAACACAACTAAGAGTGAGTGTGTTAAAAGCACTTACACAGATGAGGGCTTATATCTGTAGGGATAGCCTGCTGTTTTATGAAATCCAGAATGAAATGTGACCTGTGTTTTACATGGTTAACTACTTGCTCTCTTTCTTCTAGCTGCTATGATGTGGACAGTTGGAATGGCAAAGCCAGACACAGCAGCAAGAGCACCAAGTCAGCAGACATGGGATACAGGTTTGTTTGCCCATCACAGAGTAATGCCCCATGGAAAGAACGTGTGTGTTTAAGAATGCATAATGAATGTGGGCCCCTGAATTTTGATGGATGCATTTTTTCTGCAGTATCGTTAGAGGTTAGCTGCAGAACTCGATGATCTTATCAAACCTGCTGCCTGGCCTGGCAGCAAAGATGACTGGATGCTGTAGGGAGCAGCAGCGTTCAGACTGTCTTTATTTTAAAAACAAACAGATGACAAACAAACACAACCAAACAAGAAAGCGCTGTCCAGCACGTCATCAGGTGTACTGAAGTCACAGGTGGGAGCAAGTTGGTGGGTTTTTGTATTTTTACCGATTGGGGATGGTTAATCACAACATAGGCTCATAAACATAATACCAAGAGATAAATGAAGAGCTAGTGACCTTAGTGTGTTGCATTCAGGCAACTGCCATGGAGCAGACACACCTTTACCTAGCTGCAAGTGCAATTTAGCTTACCCTGCCAAGGAAAATGAACGTCTTTACATTTACCTTTGGGTAAAAGCATATGCTTGAGTACCCAACAGTAGCTGACGTACTCCAAGTTTGTGTTCTAGCTAATCCTGTGGTAATTTGTATGCCTTCACCTTTATCTTCTTGAAGTGCAACTTAAAATAAAACTGTAGTTGTGAAGGTGATTGAATACAATCTGATTTGTAGTATTTGGAGGATTTCCTCTTTGGTGGTCTTGCACTTCAGAGGTGACAGTACCTCTTTATGCCTAAGTGGCCATTTCAAGAAATAAATATATGCTAAGGCTTGATAACTGAACGTACTGCCTATTTTCAGGATAAAGCAGTTGACATACTAACTGCAGGGACACAATCCCGCTTTGCAACAGCCACAGAGTAGAAGCAAACTACAAATGCCTCTGTGGAAGTTCTGTGTGTCCCAGATCAGTCTGCTTGCATCTGCAGCAGCAGCATCCTGTCAGACTGACACGGACTGGAAAGTTTGTATCATCCTTTCTGAAAAACAGGAACTAGTCACATAAAATAATGTATCACAGACCAGCTACTTCTAGAAGTAGAACAGCCTCAGAACAGGAAAGATGAAAGGGCTCTGTTAGGTATGCTTAACATTAGGGAAAAAAAAAAAAACTGTGAAGAATGAAACGTGTCCACTTACCTAAGTGTGAACACCCAGCTCTAAGGTCAATGTGATTCAGAGCAGAACTTTTCTTATAAAGGGCAGTCCTCTTAGTCATCCATTTTTGTAATGGTACTAGCTAGGGAATACCTGAGCACCTCCACCCCAAAGGTGTAACGCTGTGGCAGTGCGGTCTGTGGCATGGTAAGTTTACCTCACTCTACTTATCCTGCTAGCCTGCGCAGACTGCAGATACCAGCATGTTTGACAGTATGATCCCAGGCTTGGGAACCTTTGTCTTTACTGACTGGTAGAGCAGTGCTTACTTCTGTGTATTTACTCACTTGTTGCAGTCATTGAACTCCTGGGTAGCTGCCAAAGAAGCTGTGAACGTATATTTTGGACTGTTTAAAACAAGTTTTCCTCAAACCCATTAAATCTCTCTACTGGAACTGGTCTTGGTGAACGCACCTTGGAGAGACAAAGGGCCTACCCATTCCAGAGAAGCCTCCTAACAGTGTGTATTTCATGCATTGAAAACAAGTTATGAATTGTTACCTCTTGTGTTTCTTTCTTTGTCTTGTCTTGGTCTGTGTGAAACCAAGCTGAGGATGGGAGAGAGAACCACAGAAGTCCTTCGCACTCAGACTCTGAAATTTTGGAGACAAGGAGTCCTGTTCCAACCCACCCCATCGCTTCTTTAGAGGAGCTGGAGGAGGAGGAAAGTAAGGGAAACTTTATACCATGTTTTCAGCGCAGTCAGGGTCAGAGCCTGACACTTTTACTTGCAGTCATTTACGCTTTGGTCCCCAGCTGCATCTATTTGCAATAAATTTGAAGAGCTGTGACTTTTTGAGCAAGTCTTGAATATGTCTTGAATCTGACTATAAATGACTTCTCGCTGCTGTAGTTCTGGATTGTGGCTCCACTGACATCTCTTGTCTACCCAGACAGTTTAAGCAGTTCCTTTTTCCCCCCTGCCTCCTACCCCTTTCTGTCCACACACTTCCTCAGCTAGTACAGCTGTAGAGAAACACAAGAAAGCACTCCAGGGAATGGGGCAGAGCATCTTCTTTGTTTTGTTTTTGTTTTAAATGCAGAAGAGGGGGCTGTAGGTCTTAGCCTCTTCAGTAACCTGCTGCCCTGTCTTACCTCAGCGTGGGATGCTAAGGATCCAAGTTGGTAGCCAGGACTAGGAACTTTCACCTGATCCCCAGAGAACAAGAGTGAGTTGAGGAGGAAGCAAAACAGAAGGAGGAGGAGAAGTAGCACTTATTTTCTTTTTCTTTCCCTTCCACTTCTTTCAGGGGGTGTGAAGCTGGGCCTTGGAGACTTCATATTTTACAGTGTGCTTGTTGGGAAAGCAGCTGCCACAGCTAGTGGAGACTGGAATACTACACTGGCCTGTTTTGTAGCCATCCTCATAGTAAGTGAGCAATCTTCTAAAAAAAATTCTGTGTTATAGCCTGTTTAGCACTGCAGTGTTGCCAAAAGAACCAACAGCTGAGTACTGTTAAATCACTACAGGGTTAAATGACTACAGGGCTGGGTATTTAGAAGAAGTCGCCAGTATATTTCCTAGCCCAGTGCCCTGTCTATAGAGACAGGCTTTAAACAACCGCCAGGAGAAGCCGAACCATGTGGGCTGGGAGGGAGAATTCCTCAGAGCAGGGCCAAGCACGGAGATGGTAGCAGTGAAACAGCCACAGGGGAGACAGTTACAGTTGAGCTGTCAGGGTGTTTGCCTCAGTGCTAGAGGCTGGGGACTTCTGTCAGCTACAAGAGCCAACGCTAAGAGCTCTGATTTGATTAGCAAGCGGAGTCAAATGGCTAACTCCCTTTTGCTAAGGAGGTCTACGTCCTCTTATCTAGCAGTTCTATCTTGTTCTTGTGTTGGAGCTGCAAAAAATAATAAAGCAGGAGACTTAAAAATCCATAGATATTATCAGTAAAGGGAGATGACTATCGTAGTGTTTCTGCTAAAAGACGCAGTCCTGCAAGGTCTAATAACTGCATGCTGTTGAACTTTGGCATAGGCAGAAAATCATTACTAGGAACTTGCTGTTTACACAAGCATCCTCATAAAAACCAACTTAAAGGGCAACAGCAGCAGTTTTGGAAGGTAAAAGAAAATGAATTATTGTGTCCTTCTTGGATCTCTGTGTTTCTCGCAAAAGTAGAGAATGACAATTCCACTTGTGAAGACTGTGGCTCAAGAAGCTGTTGCATGAGAACTAGAAATTAGCTAATTCAAATGGAGTGCGTGCACTGTAGCTTTCCCACCTCACAGATCAGAGAAACCTAGAGAATCACCTAGTCCCACATCCTGGGGTCCAGCACTGGATCCCTTTGCTGTAGGGAACACTCTGTTACCTGTCCATGAGACTGTATGTGCCGTTTTGTTTCTTTCGTGGTGCTGTAAAAATTTGTTCTAGCTCCTTTTACAATTTCACAGGCTCAGATCTTAATCAAACTTGGAGTCTGCAAACAATTAGGAAAAGCATCCCATCAGCTGAACCTTAGCTACTGGCTGTTTTTGGAGCCTAGTGTGAACATTGTCTCTGAAGTTTCAACACTGTGGAAGGGGGAGAAAAGTATTCAGATGAGAGAAGGAGTCAGTACTAAGTGCACGCAGTTATATGAAAGCTTTTGTAGATTTTGGGTGGACATACTTAAACCAGTAAAGCAGATCTTAGCTTGCTGTACAGCTAAAAGCAGAATTTTCCTATAATAATGAGCAATCCAGTCAAAAGAACAGAGCGGGATTCTTTTTTTCAGTTGGTTGTGGTTTTTTTGGTTTTGTTTTTTGTGGTTTTTTGTTCTCTCTCTTTCCCCAAAAGACCTTGAAAGCTGGCACTGTGTTGGAAGTACATGCTGCTGCGTGTCCAGTGAAGCTCCTTACCTTTGCAACTTATCAGAATTTAAATGCCTTTATCTGCTGGATCAGTAATTCATACATAATGGTGGGGAGCCAAAGTTAAAATAATCTGTAAATGAACCTATTGGGTTCAGCTGTGTGTCAGCACTAGCTGTTTATACCACTCTCTCAGCAGAGAACTATGCTCAAGACTGCTGAGGAAAATGCCTGGCCAACTTGTGTGAAACGTGAAGATGTGGGAAAATGCACCTCATCCCACCAGTAGCTCAGGCAGCCTTCAATTTCTGTACAGTATATGGATTATTTGCATGTTGGGTTATTGATGATAGATATGTTTCTGGGTTTCTTACTATATCTATTTTTTTTTTTTTTATTCTCTTTTCTCTGGCAGGGTTTATGTTTAACTCTTTTACTACTGGCTGTTTTTAAGAAAGCATTGCCTGCTCTTCCCATCTCCATCACCTTTGGCTTGGTCTTTTACTTCTCAACAGACAACCTCGTGCGACCGTTCATGGATACCCTGGCTTCCCACCAGCTGTATATTTAGAAGGAGAAGAAGTTAAGAGTTTGGTGTTTTTTTGGTTTTTGTTTGTTTGTTTGGTGTTTTTTTTTTTTTTTGGAAAGCTTTTCCGTGAAGTACGGTATGCTGTTTGGAATAAGTCATTAAGTTTTACACTTAGTGCCATATATTTTTAGGGAAAACACTAACTCTGTGACACGATGTATACTGAAAATCTAGTAGTTACATCTAGTTGCATCATAGTCTGAATTTTTTCACAGGAGCCCTAAGTCTTCTGGACTACAGTGAAAAGCCTGGCTTATTGCTGATGTCAGAGCATTACTTAAATGTATTTGATGTGTACACTGGCTGTTTTGAGCACGGAAACCTGTATGTAGCATGGACTGGTGGACAGATGAAGGGTCTGATCTGTGCTTCCAGGAGCTAAGGCGTTTTAGCCCTGGAATTGCAGTGAAGTTCAATTGTGCTCTGTAACTGTTAACACTTCAGTGTTTTGAAGTGTTGTACAAACATGTAGCAAAAATAAGTCACATTTGTAATTAAAAATATATAGCAGTCAACACGCACAGAGCAATGTCACGCCTGGTTATATTAGACAGAGAAGTGTGGGGCCCAACTTCATAAGCTGTCTGTGTACATAACTTCTATTGAAATTGCCCCAAATGCCTATTTATTCCGACTCTAGTGAGACACGGTGAGCAATGATGGATCCAGACAGGACATCAGCAATAGGAATTTTAAACACCAGGCTTGTGGTTCTGAGTGCATCCACCACTGTAGCAAACAGCTGAAGGCAGGGCTGGCTGTTCCAGGGGTTCTCAATTTTTTTTTTCCTGTCTCTTCCCAGCATTTCGTCTTTTATGGAAACCTCTCTCTGGGTCCATATTACAATCCTCAAATTGCCATAAGGTGGAATTACTGCACAACTCCAGTAAATCAGTTGACCTGTAACTTCTTTTGTGGTCTTATTTCTGTATGTACTGTAATAACTCCAAGGAGGATTTACATTCCTGGTCCTCTAACGCTGATTGAGGCTTGGCTTACCTGTTTTTCTGATACTGTTGTTGAAAGACTTTTTATTACAAATTTTAAAATAGCTATTTAATGTAAAAGGGACTCATTTGGAAATTCCCTGTCATAGTTTGTATCAAAATATGCAAATTTTAATCTGCTGTTACCTTACTCTAAATAAGGCATAATTATTGCTGGGAATATTTACATAGCCTCAAGTGAGTTTATTTAAAAAAAAAAAAAATCACAGTGCTTGTTGCCAATAAAAGATACAGGTCTGACTCAGTCTGTTAGATTTAATCATTCTTTTTTGCCACGTTTTAAAAACAATTTCTTTCTACTCCAAGAGTCAGTTTCTTAGAAATAGGCAACTTCTGTGATTCTTTTTTTTCTTATACTTGAGTGTCTGTTACGCAAAAAATAAGCTCTATTTTCTTTGACAGCTGATTGATGTCAGTGTTTCAAAATGTAACATTATGCAAGTTTTTGTGAACAGTGCAATGTCATCGAGAGATGTAGAACTTCATATCTGAAAATACTTTTTAGATAAGGCTTTGAATTATGTATTTTTAAGATAGTGCTTTTTCCAATAGACTTGTTAAAGCTAATCTACTTTGATATTTAACAAGGACATCATGCAGGTGATTCAAACAAATTTTTAAAAAAGACCTAGGAGTTTGTATGAGCTTTGTGTTTCTCTGAACAATTAAGTAATTTCTGCTCTCTTAGTTTTCTGTCCTCATTTCTTACGTGTGCAATGTTTGGATTTAAAAGCTAGAGCCTGAGAGTTATTTATTACTAAAAGGTATTTCCTTTGGAAATGTAAATCAGTAGAAGTGTCTGCTGTTTTTAAAGGTTTATGTGAGGGTAATTTTCAGTTTTTAACAAAAAAAATTTCTGGGGCCAAATCAAAATACAGTCACTTGCAATCATGATTTTATTTTCTTGGATTGCATGATATTGAGAGGATGTGAAATATTTACATGTACTGGAAAAAAATCCTGCTTGACTGAACAGGGTTGTAGCGTATTGTTAGAAACAATTTATTTCTATGAAAGTGGAGCTGATATGTGAAGAAAACTGGGGGGGGGGGGGAACCTTAACTTTTTTGGAAGAAACACTGCTGGAGCTGGTGGTTTTCGGCAGATTCATGCTTGCCAAAGATTGGCCTCTCACTAAGCAATTTGATCTAACTTTTGAAAACTGTAATTTTAAAAGAAACTGAGCAATGGATTCTGTCAGTGCAACAATGTATTGTCTTGGTGAGTGATAGAAGTGTATCGTGTGGATACTGGAGTGGTTTTAATTGTGTAAAGGTTTATATGTATTTACTGCAAATATATATGTGTGTGTGTGTGTACGTGTATATACACACACACACACAAACACACGAGTTTTAAAATGATATTGAGTGATTTCTTATCTCATTGGACATTTTCACTTGTGCATGAAAGTGAAGTTTTGTTTGTGATCTTAATATCATGGCAGCAGCATGGCCCAAAATGTGAAAACGGAGAGGGTGGGATTTACCTTCCTCCCTTAAAAAAGAGCAAGAGAGGGAAAAGGGGGAAGACAGTAGCCCAGTGGCTACCATGTGAGAAACTGGCCCAGTGACCTGCAAGTTGAGTGAGCATCTGTGTGTGTAGCAAAGCGTTTGTCTGTCCACGCTGTTCATTCCTTGATTTTTTGCTTTGTTACATGCTCTGCTAAACTGCAGTCTCTTTGACCCTGGAGAAACTCTGAATGCTCCCACTGATATGCCTCCCCCAAAAAGTACAGCTGTCAGGTAGGCTGGAGTGACACCCGTCTTGATGCAGATGTCACTCAACAGCTTGAAGTCCTATAGAAGGTGCCATGTATTGGCATTTCTGTAGATGATTCCTATCACACCCGCTCCTCCTCTGCAGGCTAAAATGAGTGTCCCGTTGTATGTAGTCTCAAATATGGCTTGGGCATACACCACTCCCTTACATGCAAGATTGAGGCTATGTCCAGGAACAAAAATATAGCGGTAAACCTGCCCAGTGCAAATCTAAGCTCTTCACTATTGGGAGATATGCAGCCTTCTTGCAGTATTTAGTTCCTCTGTCAGAAGCACGTGCTATTCGATCAGTTTGGTGTTGTCACCTTCTGACCCCAGAGTTGCTGCTTGTGCCTAGTGCTGTTTTTCCTGTTGTCACTTCATTGTTGCTTTCTGTTGTTTGTTTGGGGTTGTTCTCTTTGAAGCGTCTACTGTGCGTCAAAGACTGGAGATGCATTCTGCCCGCAGAGATGGCATAAGAAACAGCAAGTCATAAAGTGTAAGAAATAAGAGGATCATATAATGCTTCTATAGCAGCTTTCATCATATGCCTGAGGTCTCATTCATTATGTAACTTCAGGCTCTTACAGGAAATACCTGGGTGAGTAGATAGTCTGTGCTAGAACTGACGTCTCCCTCTGGTTCACAGAGAGAAATGAATACGTTCGCAACATGATGCGTCTCGCCAAGAGCTTTATAAACGCTTACTGTTGAAGCTGGGCCAAAGAGAGAAGTGGATACAGCAAAGTCGCAGCACGTTCCCATCAAGGTCAGAAAAGGAGCAGTGATCTGATCTCCTGCTCCCTCTTTGCACCACTAGCTAATGACCTCTTCCACGGGGCCATCAGATGAAGTCAGATGGATCATCTCTGGGAGTTACTGGCACTCACTGACAGGACCCTAGCGATGACTAGCTCAAGGGCATCTGCCCTTGTAAAACAAAGCATTTGGAGGTCTGCCTATCTACCCCCAAACCAGTAAATATCTTGGCTTTGTTCTTGCCTTCCTAGGTACTTCCAGTTAATCACACTTTTTTTTTTTTTGACTTCCTCTTCCTTGTAACTTTTTTTTCCCCTAAATCAAATATACCGTTGTCTTTCTCGATTTCCTTCAGTCCCTGGTCTACCTCTTTCTGCATTAGAGTTGCTCCATGGCAGCCACGGGAGGGCAGTAAGTCTGTATGGAGAAGTACCAGCACTCTGCTGTGGACTCTCTGTTGTTCAGTGAGGCTGAAGGCCCTGGAGTCTATCTCATGGCAAGGAAAAAGCAGGCACGCCATACCCCAGAACAGGTGCAGTTTTGGCACTTTGGCTTGAGTGAGCATAAGCTCATATGGCCCCAGAATCCATTTAAAACCAGGTGGTTTCAGTGTGATGCCATGATCAGCCCTGCAACTCTGGATGAGATACTGTTAGTATACTGCATGCTCTAGATCTTGTTTGGGTCTTTTTTTTTTTTTTTTCCTTAGCCTCCAGCCCTGGTTTGAGTAAACCCCAAGTCAGAGGCTCCTCCAGGTATCTCTAAATTAGATTTTCTTCTGAGTATCCTCAAGAAGCAAAAGAATAACTATACTCACTGTCTTGTCATATCTGTCACTTGCAGTCTCCTCTTCCATCCCAGCAGGTCCTGGTCATCTAAGTCGAGTACACTGCTCTCATTCCAGCTCTTTGCACTGGGGGATTTAGCTAGATCATGTCTCGTGTCCTAAGGAAGAAGAGGGTTTCTTCCAACTAAGTATGCTTTATAAGAAGGCAGTCTGGACAGATGTGATACCTTTGCTAGATCTTCCCCTACCGAGGTATTCATATGGCCCCTAACACACCTTTCCTAGTTTAATTTATCCTTGCTTTCCCTGCGCCCCCACCCCCCACCCCCCATAAGGTAAGGCAATCTGAGCTGTTCCCATCTTACAAGTAGAAAACAGAAAGAGAATAAGAGTGCAAATGCTGGGCTTAAGCTTGCTTACACACAAAAGATCTGTTCAGATCAGAGCATCGAACACAAGTCACCCTCTTTCCTTTTGCATCTTCCTTTCACTGCAGGTTTGCTCTCCTCCACCTTTTCTCACTTTCTAAGTTGAAGATATTTGCCCTGGGCACTCAAAGAGTTAACTGAATGTGAACTGTTTATCTTCGCCTTCATGCCACACATTTGTTTGACAGGTGCCCAAGAGCATGGTTTGGCAGGTGTCAGTGCTCAGCGCTATTTATGGCTCAGTATTAAAAAGATATAAATAAATAAAGGCTTTGAAGTAGAACTAACTAAACGCCTTGATACAGAAACCTGAGACAGGTATGAGGCCAAGTAGTTGGAGTGGAAGTTTTCCAAAACTGGGAACTGTTTGAGTCCTTCCAAATGCAACCTGAACTAAGTGGCAGCTCCCAAGGCCAACTCATGGTTAGCTCTGTGCAGAAATAGATGGTGTGAAGTCCCCTAGCCGGGCACTCTCTAATCGTCTTGCAAGGTCTGAAGAATCAGAAGGGGGCAGAGCAGGAAAAGCATTAGGCCTGTTTTCTCCTACATCACTGGTTTCTATGATTTCAGGGAGACTTTGCTCACCTCAGTATAAAATGGAAATAACTCCACATCTAACTTGCATTTAAGTGGAGTAAGAACAATGTAAAACCAGCCAGAGAGAAAGAGTGGAAACTTGATCCAACTTCTAACTTATGCAGTATCATTCTCTCCGCCATTACAAAACTAACTATGAGCAGATGCAATTCTCCCTGACTTTGTAGAACTGCATCTGTTTATGAAAGAATCCGCATCTTTCTGCGAAATTGGTGTAAAGCAGGCAAGATCACTGAGGCTGAAGGTAGGTATTCAGGATTATTTTTAAAGCTGCCTATCCACAGCTTTGATGTAGCAACAAATAGCAGTAATAAAAAGCTGGTAGTGTCAACATAATTATTCCAAAAGGAACTCCTCGCCTCTTCATCGTTTTGGGAAACACGTCCTTTCCGCAAGCCCCTGCTAAATATGGCCTTTGTGATATTCCTGGAAGTTCAAATATGAGCTATTTCTGTTCTCCAAATAATGTGTTAATAGTTAGTGTTCCAGCAGTGCTATGCAAGGATTTCAAGAGGCAGGAACACTGTTTGATTTTCTTCTTCAATAGGGGGGAAAAAAATGTGATTTGTATCCTTAAATGATTTGGGCAAATACACTTAGTGATTTCAGAGAACTCATCATGCTGCCAAATCAAACTCTGGGTCATGCAGAAAACTAGAGAAATAGGAATCCAGCAAATGCATTTGGCTATAAATGCTGTGATCTGTAGACTTTTAGCCTAGGAGAGAATACAAGGTTAGAAGTGCATTGCAGGCGTGGATTAGATTCACAGAAGAGGAGGGGGGTGCTGACTTCTTTGACCTGCTGGAAAGCAGCTCTGCAGAGAAGGACCTGGGAGTCCTGGGGGACAACAAGTTAAGCATGAGCCAGTAACGTGCCCTTGTGGCCAAGAAGGCCAATGGTGTCCTGGGGTGCATGAGGCAGAGTGTTGCCAGCAGGTGGAGGGAGG